AGTTTCTTAACTTTGGTGATCATACGTGAACCGGTGTTTCAAGTTAATGTGACTGTAAGTTTGTTCACAAAGCAAAGCAATCTGAAGAGTCGAGTAATACAGATGTAAAAGACGAATCTAAATCAAGGAAATAACATTTTTAACAATAAAGAAAGCAACCCCCAAATAAATTCCCTCTACATTTCCTTTATTAAGATTTCTCGAGTGCGTAAGCCTATAAATGTAACACGCACTCTTTAAAATAAAATCGAGAAATCTCTTCAAATACACGTGCTCAGTGGGAACAACGTTCGAATAAATAGAATTGTCGTATTAAAGATAAATCAGATTTCTCAAGGAGCTTGCTTCATATGTTGATCGCCCTCTGAGTCCGAACGGTCCCGAACAGACCAGATAAAATGGCAATTTCTCTCTACATAGGATAAGGCACACATTTTGTTTATATAAATTTTCGAGTGAACAGGAGGACATTTTATTATAAAAAGGGGCGTCTTTTCCAAATACGGGTATCTGTTAGGGATAATAAAATCTTTTGAATTAATACTATACATGTGAATGAAAGAAAAATAAAAATAAAGCAAAATACGATGATACAGTGTTAATACTAATATTATTTATTTCCTTATAAGAAAATATTTATTGACTGAACCACCAGTAATACCATCGGGTAAAAGGTATAAAATACTACAATCAAAATATTTTTTCACGAAATTGGTTTCGCGTGTTTTCAACTATTGATATGAAGTTTCCTTCCTGACCATTTGTTTGAAGTAGTGTGGAAGATCAAAATGTTGGTTATCTCTTTATTTTCTCTTACTGTATTCATTTTATATGGTTCTTTTGTTGAGCGTCCGCAAATGATGTAGTTTTTCTTATCTAGTGAAGTTACCGTTTTGTAATTGTGTAGCGTCACTCCAAGGGGTTCGAAGTAGCATGGTGGTCGCTATATTTTTACTATATTTACCCCAATCGATCTGAGAAAGCAATATTATACGGCTGATAGTTTGTATATTACTAAACGAGATTCACGCCATGTTTGACATCCATATAAATATCTTCAAATGACGAGTCCATTTAAAAATATGAATAGATTTTTTTTTTAAATTAATGTTTTGCAACAATTCGTAGTCTTATGTGAAACCACACATAGCGCAGTCTATTCTATGAATAATTTTCTTATTTACTATACTAAATTTGTTATATATGCATTCAGGTATTTTTTTTAGTATTATAATAATTTCGCATATTAATTTTTTTATGATTAAATCTCAGTAGGTACCATCGCTATTTCGTTCAATTTTTCAGATCATAGTTTCTGTTTTGGAAAGGCTTATCATGAATCCTATCACGTGGATCACTTGGCATGGGATGTTAATCTTTAGGTCAAGATCAATCTACTCGTAATTGTGAACATCAGTGTCAATAGCATAACACTTATCACTCATCAATACATTGGCCTAGAGAGTGAAATCAAGAACATTGTATTTATTCGTAGATTTTGTCGAATGCGATAGGGAATGTTTACATGATCAGTGCCCATCTCTTTGTATCTATGCTTATATGTGTGCCTAGAATAGACTAGAAAAATATTAAATAGATCCTCCTGGTCGTACACGTGATGAGGTTTGAATTTTGACTTAATTGGGAACGTCTACGAACGTGTCTTTTTCTTTACACATGCATAGTTCTTCGAAAGTAAAAAAAATGGAATACCAGATATCGTGGAACAACATAAATTTTGGTGTAATCAAAATAAAGGATAAAAGATGCAGAGGCGGCAGATAAAAATAAAGAGAATGTGTAATGAACTATAAAAAATGGCCAATGAAATATTCCATTTGAATGATACGACCCATGTATTTATGTTTAAACGAGTTACGTATATTCGATTTATGAGTGACTAGCAGAGGGGAATGAACACGATATAACTGATAACTGACATAGCAACTATATAAACATATAGGTAAAATAATATCTCTGAATGGACAAAGACCGGAAAGAACAACGCGATCACGAAAGATGACAAGGACAGAACATTTCATTCACTTTCCATTCGCTAACAAAATTAAATATGATGTTGAAACTTCTTTAAAGTACATGTAACAGAAGAACTATATTTGGAAATCTGATAACAATTTTCTAAGGAACAGAAATAATGACAAAGAGCAAATGATCTATTCTCTATTAATCGAAGAATACTGGCAGAAAGAAAAACAAGCAAAGTCTATAGGTAGACCCCACAAAGACATAGTACCTGAGGTCACAATGTATGGTAATAGATAAGCGAAAGGAAAATTGACCATTCTATACTGTACGTCAAAGAAAGCCAGTGAAACGAATAAGACGTATGTCGTATATTGATTCAGAAAGAATTGAAACTGCTATATGACTACTTTGGAACGGTTATTTATTTGCTGTTGTCTGTAAATAAATGTCTATATATTATAAATATAATATAACTACTCTTAATATATAAACTACTGGTATATATATATATATATATATATATATATATATATATATATACAGAGATAAGTTTATTTTCCGGGTAAATAGTGCATCTTACTTATAAAACGCAGATTGTGTGTGTGTGCGTGTGTGTGTGTGTGTGTGTGTGTGTCTATGTTTATATATTAGATCGGATTTCCTAAATTTTTCAACCGATTTCAACAAAACTTCACAGGACTGCGTAAAATTACCTTGCGGTGATTCTGGCAGCGCCCAAAATTAGAAAAACAAAATTGTTTTTGCACGAAATCAATTTGAAAACACGATAAAACACGATTCTGTCGCCAGAATGAAAGTTTGACAACTCATATCGAGTTATACTAATTATAAAACCCAGGTTGTGTGTGTGTGTTTGTGTGCGTGTGTGTGTTTGTGTGTGTTCGTTTATATATGGGATCGGATTTCCTACATTTTTCGACCGATTTCAAAAAAACTTCATTTTTCTTTTGGCAGGTAGTGTTTCTTATTGTCTTGCACACTTTTTTCTTTATGTTTACTTTCAGAATGCTTTAAAAATTCCATTTACAAGACAATTGTTTATAATAAAATTCTATTCAATCGGTAGACACGTAACGATTGAAAACAATGTTTTTGTTTGAGTTTGGGTTTGACCAATTCGTAAAAAAAAATAATTAAGATATGCGTGTCCGTCAAACTTAAACAATAATCTTTGTCAATTTTAATTTTCAGTCTTTATGATGGTCGATACTTGATCTATCTCTTACTGTTACATCCCCGGGCAACGCCGGGCTCTACTGCTAGGAAAATATAAAAATGAAATTCATAAACTCTCAATCAAAAAACTAAGTGACAAACCAAAACATTGAAAAACTATAAAACCACCAGAAGAAAATTTGCCAGATGATACCACAAGAGATTACGCAAGAAGTGCAAATGTATGTTGTAAGGAATAGCTAAAGACTCAACAAAATTATCCGACACTATTTAAATTAATAAGTTATTAGGTACATCCAGTGACTACCCAAAGAGTGTGAGTTCAATACCCGGTTAATGCAGTGGAGAACTTGGAGAGGGGAATTAACAGGATATAACCGATAACTGACATGGCACGTGGAACTAGAACAGTCTACCCCAGGAATCGAAATAAAGGATTCAGTTCGACATTCAAACCACCTGAAGAAGGCCAGAGCGTAAAACGACTGAAACTTTATAATAAAGATGGCGACAAAAATGAGGACAATAGTCCGAATAATGTAAATGTTTACATAATACCGCATCTCAGAAATATAGACAGATACAAAATTATCCGAGAATGTCATAAATAGGCTCAGAAGTCTAAAAAATAGATATGACTGTTATTTTTTATCATTTCCCTCCAATCAAGGCAATAATGCCACTAAGACGCAAGGGATGAACTGCTACTGAGTGTGAAACGATACGAGAAAAGAGAATTATTAAAGAGCGAGAAGAATCAAATAACAGGAATTATGAAGGCAGCCGGCAGACATTGCATTTATATTTTTGAACATCAAACATGGCTGGGAAGCATGACGCTAGAAGATAATTCCATAAGCAAGAAATGAGAAAGAATAAACATTATGCATAAGACTTACACCTATGTCTATCTATTTCAACTATAATATGATGAGACCTTGCCGCGAATCTAGTACTGCGCTTAAATTCATAAAGTCTTAGCATCAGAGAGGAAAGATCATCAGAACAATTAACATGAAAATATTTATAGAAAAGATCGACTAATTAAAATTACTATAGAAATATGAATTACAGAACATGACTAGTTGTGGGAATTTTGAAAATGAATGCGATGTTACAGTATATATACGTAATGCTCCTCCAGCGTATGGTATCACAGCTCTCAATTGATTCCTTTCCTTCCTCCGCTCTTAATTGCTATGCTTTTTGGAAAATGAAGTGGATAATTTTACCATTGTTTTCCCCGCAATTTGGAATATGCATTTTTCTTTGTCTTAAAATTATTGCAAACCAATTTCGGAGAGCCCGATATAGGGTGGTATTTAATCCATAGCTGGGGGTAACAGAATATGATTGACACAATTCTACTCACAAACTTCAGTGTTAGTATTTTAATTGTTTTCATTGAGACCGAATTCTTCTTAATATCTATTTTTTTAGAATATTTTTTCTAAGCATTTTGAGATCGTAGCCAGTGATCATCTAATTGCTGGAGCTGCATTTACCTTTATTTCCAGTAAAGTCTTCTGCTAACAGTAAATATTGAGATATCTATATAAATTTTATTTTCTTTCAGAGCATAAAAATCTATGAACTAGTATGTTTTCTTTGTCTGCTATGGTTTTTAATATATTGGATTGGATTGTGTGATACACTTGATCTTCCTGGCATGTGCGTGTTCATTAAGGTTTTTATGTTTCCGGCTGCAGTTTGAGTGACAGAACGTATGTATCAATGACCAGTATTTTTGTCCATATCATTACAGACTTTAGCGATGATGTAGTCTAGATAAATCAATTTTTCCTCTTATATTTTTCATGCCTTTACAAGGTCACAACCGATGTCCAGTCGTTATTACCGTGGACATTATTGCAGTAAGTTTTCTCATACGCTATATTTCTTATTATCATTGCAAACAAGAGCAATGTAAAAATAGCTTCTTTCGTCTTTCTGTATTTGGTTTTTCATTCATCTCCAGTTTCTGATATCTAAAAGATTTTATTTCTCCTTCATTACTGTAGGTTTTTCTTTCTTTCTTTATTGTTCTATTTATTTTTTTCTCCTCCTAACCATTCTTTTTTCTATCTGGTTATTGTCTTCTTCTTCCTCCTTCTTCTCTTTATCCCGCTCCGCGTCCTTTTATCTTTTCCTCCTCCTCCTCCTCCCCCTCATTCTTCTTCTTCTTCTTCTTCTTCTTCTTCTTCTTCTTCTTCTTCTTCTTCTTCTTCTTCTTCTTCTCATTCCTTTTCCTCTTCTTCTTCTCGTCCTTTTATCTCTTCATTCTCATTCTTCTTCTTCTTCTTCTTCTTCTTCTTCTTCTTCTCGTCTTTTTATCTCTTCTTCCTTCTTATTGTTCTTCGCATTCCTCTTCTTTTTCTCGTCCTTTTATCTCTTCCTTCTCATTCTTCTTCTTCTTCTTCTTCGTCTTCTCTTCCTTTTATCTCTTCTTCCTCCTCATTGTTCTTCGCATTCCTCCTCTTCTTCTTCTTTCCTCTTTTTCTTCTTCCTTTCTTCTTCTTCGCTTCAGTCTTTCCCCTCCTTTTACTTTTTTCTGATTCTTCATTTTTATTCTCCTCCTTCTTTTCTTTCTTCCGTTTCTCCTCCTTTTTCTTCTTCTTCTTCTTCTTATTATTATTATTGTCCATATCATCATAATCACCATCATCATTAATATCATTGTTATGAGTAGTTGTAGTTGTCGTAGTAGTAGTAGTATTGACAAAACCATCGTCTCATAACAAAGCGTGCACGAATATAATATAGTTTTTTCAGTTGAAAAAAAAAAAATCTTTAAAACAAGCTCTATTACGAGGTTGGTTTATTGCACCAAGGGCCTGACATCTGAAAAAATAAGATCCTAACCTTAGCTGAGTTAATATTTTTCTTTCTTTAGTTATCCGTTATGGTACCAATAAAAAATAAATAAAAAAACGATAGATTCATTCCCATAAAAAATATATATAGCAAGAAAAATCAGTAAAACCCACAAGTCACAAATATATATTTGTTTACGCTGGGTATGGCAAATCTGTCATCATCACCATCAGAATCATTATCACTATCATCAATAATATTAAGTAAGAATGCGTATATTCAAGAGCATAGAATGATATCCGCATACATTGAAATAATATACTTTTTCTAACTGTATTTGACGTATCGTATTGCCTATCAAAGATCTCATGATATGTATACATTTATAAGTATCTGTGGAGTCTTGCGTGTGTATGAATGGAAAAGTGTAGAGTTGAATGAAAGTTGGGGTTATGGAGCTTTTTACTTTGATTAATGAGACGGCGTCATCTGAAAAATAATTTTATTTCTCAAGATCAAACTTTCTATTAGTCGGACCAAACGCATTTGGTTAATTGGCGAAAAATGTTAAAACACACACACACAGAGAGAGAGAGAGAGAGAGAGACACACACACACACACACACACACACACATATATATATATATATATATATATATATATATATATATATATATATATATATATCCCTTAATATTAGGTGAAAAGTAATTTTTTTTACAAAATATTCTTCCCTAATTTTTTTTTTCCACTTCAACTTCACTAATTGTAACCCAAGTGATTATTCTGTATAAATCAGGTCAGTCAACATTATGTATTTCCTCTCACCATTCCCCATGTCTAGACATTAATACCCTCTCTGTAATTTCTTTCTCCTTCTCTTTCACTTCCTACCTTGTCTATTCGCTAATTTGTTTTTATTCCTCGATGCTTTTGTTCCGTTTTCCTATCTTTTTTGCCGTTGCCTGGCTTTTAAAATTAGTTTTTAAGCCAGTTTCATTATACATTTTCTTGTTAATCTGCTGGGTTTCGGAATCCCCCAAATTAATCTTAATTTTTAGGGTGAAATGATCGTAATATTGAAGTAATCTTAATTCCTATTGTATGTAAAAAAAAATGTCGAATATATATATATATATATATATATATATACAAAAATACAAATTATTATATTAAATATATAATATATATATATATAAATATATAATATATATAATATATATATAAATATATAATATTATATATTATACAAAATACAAATTATTCGAAAATTACAAAACCTTAATAAGAAGTGGATCGGCAGACCTTAGAAGAAGTTGTTCAATAGAACCTGTTCAAAGAATTATTGCTTCCAAAAATCAACCCATTTTAAAAGAAAAAATATATCTTTTATCTCACGACAACATTATCAAGAAGGCTTACATTACACATGACGGATTAAATTTCCATAGCACAAAATTTAAAAGAACATTCCTTTCCACATCCATGTTTTAGAGAAATATTAATAGGCAATACAAGTATACTCTAGCATGAAAATAAAAATCAAAACTATGAAATTTATGAATAGCTCTATATAAAAAATGTAAACGGCACTAAATAAGAAAATTATTAGTATAGCAACAATGTTTTAAAATGCTTATAAAAACAATGCTTTGGCATAATCAAATTGTAAAAAAAAAATTAAATTTAAATTGTATGTTAAGTATTTTAAAACATTAATCAGAAAAACATCTAATGAATTTATCTCTCTTACATATACCAAACATTATTTTTTTTGAATTGACTATAACGGGGCGCGTTTCATACGCATTTACAAAAAAAATCACATCCATCAATTAGATTAATTTTTTTTTGTCGTAGCAATTAATTGTTGAATATGATCTTGGATGCGATTGAAAAACTGAAAAAAAAAAAGAATAAGAAAAGCATCGCATTTTTTAAAATCAGTTTAATAAACACTAAGCAACTGGTCTGTGAATTTGAGAGGAATATAATAAAAATAAATAGTCATATATATAGACTATTCAACTAAAGATGCATTGAGATATGCATATATATATATATATATATATATATATATATATATTGTTTGAATAAAAAACAGACCACGTTAAGATTCCATGTAATAAGCTATTTCACCATAACCCCTTTAACAGGGTTCTGGATCACCAGACTTTACTTCCAAAAGCTGAAATAAAAAATGAAAAGAAATTCACATCTTTTTGACGGACCTCATAAGTATACGTAAAATTAATGAAGTGAGGAAGTGAGGTGGGAGAGAGGATATGAGTATGTCATATGTATCATTTCAATTTCCTATTTTTAACCCGTGTGTCGGCTAGATGTTGCTCAAATTTAACACGTCTCGTCTCTAGATATAAGACCGACATTAAAGGAAGAAGCTACAACAACCCCAATCAATTGTGACGTCGTCCCCTGGTCGCAGCGCCAACCGTGACGTCCTATCCTGGTCTACCACGGCACCAACTGTGACGTCCTCGCCGCGGCGCCAGCTGTTCGCTCCTCGCTGCTCCGTTCAGGTGCCGCCACTCCAAACGTGACGTCCGCCTGTCGCGTCAGTCGTGTTGTCTCGTCCTGTGACGACCAACTGGCTTGGCATCGGTCGCGGCAACCAAATGAGACGTTCTAACCTTTTGGTGATTCGGGTGGGAATCTGGTTAGATTTGATATCAGCCTCGTCGTTCCCAACTCGCTTCCAACGCCTGGTTACCAAAGTAACTGCATTGATCTCCAGTCCGCCTACCCACGTTGTGAATTGATCTTAGGCAGACGAGATCAATCAGTAGTTGGGGCCGTAATGCAAATCGGGTTCAACGGGGGTGACACCACACAAATACGCATAAAAGAAAATAAAATGAAAACTCAAATGTTCAAGATATCAACGAAAAAGATAACAAACTTTATGTCTAGTTGTTCGATACATAGGACTGCGTCTATCTCCCGACCCGTTCTATGGATTGTGACACGTTGTTTTCCGTTAGGCGAGTTTTAACGCTTCAAGTTGTTTGCTCTTTAAGAAATTGGTTTTTCGGTATGTCTTCGGACGAAAGTCGAAAAAAAACTTATTTTGGTGGTCTGGATCTAAGTCGCTCTTCAAAATAATTGTTCTTGGATTGAAGAGGAGTCCGGAATGTGCGTGAATCTTTCAAGTCAGCTATCTGCGAGGCGGAACCAACTTCCACTGCGAGCTTCGAACTCACTGCTGCAACTCCACTCTGCTGAACTGAACTACATTTGGATTTTTCTTTGGCCAGCAGTTTGTTTACGCATCCCAGATAACACAGCCGTCGCCAAAACACACCCGATTCCTTTATCCACTCAGAATTTCCCTGTCATTTGTTACTTATCAAAATATCCTTTATCCATTGTCTCTTAGCCGTGGTGTTCTGCTTATCATCCACGTTTTGGGTCTCGCCTCTCTTTTGCCTTCTTTTCTTTCTTTTCTTTTTTCTGCCTCGGTAAATGGTGCCACACAATTACACGACAGGTTTCATTCAAATTCTTAGACGCTGTTAATTTGCGTTACTTTAACGTGCATATTTGGGAGGTTAATGTTTGATAAATATCTAAATGTCTAAACAATCTACGAAGAAATTAATTTGAAATTCGGTGGAGTTTTGGGTATTTTCTATGAAACCGTCGCTATATATATATATATATATATATATATATATATATATATATATATATATATCGATTTATATAATTATAAATGTATTGTCAATAATCCATCTGTCCTTCAAGTAAAAATTAAACCTAATATAACAGGAAAGCTACTTTTTCCATGAACTACAGTGGATTCTTTCTATGACCATCCATCTAAATAATATCCATGTGCAATCTGATGGCGTCTTTATAGGTTCAGTTCTGGGAGAATAAATTGTAATTTCTACATGGCTACAATTTGAAATGAGTCATTTATTAGCACAAAAACTCCATCTGCCTAAGATATGCAGATGATATTCTCATCGTAGTTAAAAGTATAGATTGAATCACGGGATTCCAAAAACTCAATTCTTAACTTGCCATATGAACTTAACAATAAGAATAAAATTACATTTCTGGAATATATTGATAGACACTAATGATAATACGTTTACAACCTCCCCGTATAAAAAAGAACATCTTAAACACTTGTACTTTAAACGAGGAAAGTGAATTAAATGGCTATTACAAAATTGCTGTTATACTAAATTTAATAAACCGTGGAGAATTTAACTCGTCCACGAAAATATTCTATCCTGAAATAAAAAAGCATTAAACAAAGTCTCATTAATAATGACTTTCTTCCTTACATTATTGATGAGAAATATTAACATAAAAACTTCTCTAATATATCAACATACTATAACGTAATCAAATGCATTCTACCTTTGAAGAAGATGAAAAATTCTAAAAAAAATCATAAGTATCAATATATCTCACACTAATCGCTCTAAAAAATAAAACTAAGACAAACAACTTAACCATAAGCAATAACTATTCTCCGTCAGTGAGTCTTTTGGAAAAGGCCAACATCAGGCCAATATCAGCTAAAATTTGGGAGATTGTATATCTGACAAAAATTAAGTACATATGTTGATTTGACGTTTCTAATATTATCAATACGTCTTACACACCATTTGTCAGATACAATTTCAATCGTACAGCATGAAAAAAACTTATTCCGGCCCAGCTTTATATTAGAGGAAAATACTTGATGAGAGCACTAATAAAACACAATGAAAATAATAAACAAGATGATATATCAAAAGCAACCACCAAACTTGAACGAAAATTAATTAAAGTGTAGTAGCAATGATTTAAAAGTATGACACAT